CTTTGATCATACGTGTCTGCGTTCTACCTCCCGTGTTAGGTAGTACAATAGGGTGAGTAATATTGAGGTTAGGTTTCGGTAGAGTGCTAGGTAAGGAGGGAAAATCAATCAACGACGTTGTGAAATTACATCGACTGAAATGGTTAGAACATGTGTTACTCATACCTGCCTAGTCATCCATCGCCTGCCTCGACAACGGGAAATGTTAGCCACTGATATAGGATCCATCACGTTGGAAAAGATATAGTGGTGAGTGGTGGTCAAACCAAAACATGTCTACATCAGTCAATCAAATCCAAAACAGTTAGTTTAAGCCAGCAAGCCAGCCAACCACATAGGGAGATGTAGACTTCCTGACTGGTTGGAGTCCTCGGGATGGTAAGAACCAATGGCGACTAGAGACAATTGGTGATACGGTTTAAAATCGTTCTCGGTGATGGATGGCGCAGATGCATTCACTCTTTTTGAATTATAATATCCAATAAAACTCTGTTATACTTCCGTATTACTATTCTTTTCCCCTCACACCTGTGTATTATCTCTCCTTTGAGACTCCCTTTACTCCCTTTTCTTGCTTTGTGTGCTACAAGAAGGGAGTGTGGCGACTCGAACTGCTGCACATCTGTGCAAAGTTCTATGTTGAAACCAGTCAGTCAGTAAGTCAGTTTTCATTCAGTGGGAAAATGAATATCACAAACCCAATGCCCAAACTTTTTTTCAAACTATTGAATGTGAACTTGGTTTAGACATATTTATATCTTGTTATTGTCTATTGTAGTTCATATATATAATAAATACAATTGTTTAATGTGTCTCATTGGGAATGAATTATTAATTGAATTTACGAATAGTGTAAAGGTAACAAAAGCCCCGCCCTCCCCCACACCCAAAAAAACCATTCCCTGAAGTCAAAATTTATATCTAAACTTCAAATCAAACGTCTACATTACTTCAATGATAATTTACTTAATTCAAATTCTGTCTCATGCCTTATTGATAAGCACTTTACACCCATTATCGCAACATTGGGTAATATTTTTGGCCTAATATCGGTTAGACGACAAAGGAGTTCAAACGATCTGAATAATTTTGGTTTTCAAAGAAAACTATAGTGAAATCTCACCTTAAAAGAGGTGATTTGTAAGGATTAGATTTGTTTCTCGAGTTTACACATGGAGTGATATCAGTTAGAGAGCCATTGAAAACTATGGAGTACTGGACAGCTGTTTCACCCTATTTTGAGAATCATAAATCGCTTATGAATCGAGTCCCAGTAGCTAAATGGTCGGGGGTGGGTGCCTTGCGCTGCGGGTTGGCCACCCCTCCTCACACCTCTTGAAATGCTCCCATATGACCGGCCGTCTTACATAGCCTCTCCTGAGGAAGTCCTACTCACTGCCTTCACGTGGCGGAGGTGTTGTTCACCAAAGTGAGAGGGCGAAAGCGGATGCCCGGCGCTCTTCACCGGGTTGACTGTCCATTGGATGACAGTCTAGGGGAGATGGCTAAACCCTGATTCGAAACCTCCAACGACTGGCGTATGAAGCTCACTGGAGCTCACCGGCAGACGTATGGACAAAGGGCTTGTTGGATGTCCTGGATGTCTGGCCCCATTCAAAAAGGCGTATGAACCGAACTCCGGTCACCGGCTGCCAATGGATAGTGGACTCCCTACTCTACTCCTACTGCCTTGTAGGTCACACCTGGTTGTGTAAAGGCTAGAGCTGCACTCTCCAACAAAAGGCCGAGCGATTCTGGGGGACATCACTCGTACCGAATTCCCATGAAACTTCATGAACTCTCTCACAAACGACTCACACCGTGCCTGAGCAGCGATGATTCGAGATGTTCATGAAGCCGGCTCATCCTTCCGTAGGAGATAGCCGAAGTAAAGTACAGTAAGTAAGCTAAATGGTATACGAGTTTGCCATTTAGCCACAAGGTGGTGGATTCGAACCCCAGTGGGTGCGTACTGCTGGTGACTCCCGAACTGGGATGAAACAGCTGTCCAGTACTCCCTGGTTTTCAATAGTTCTCTAACTGATATCAGTCCGTGGTCAAATTCGAAAAATCTCACTCCAATCAAAATGTACATATTGTGAATTCCATTTCACACGTGTTGTTGTACCAGTTTTAACCGAAACAGCTAATCAGAATTCCAGTGTGGTTTGAACTGATGCATCTCTCTCTCTTTCTCTGTGTGCGCTGAATCAAACTGGATACACCCGATGAGGTTAACTCGATGCCAAATCAGAGAAATGACCGTCCGTCTAGTGTTTAGATCACTTTGAAAATCTAGCTGGCAAGCATTACTGGTTGAATCGAGTAGTAGCAGTAGTAGTATGCAAGTACTACTTACTTCAATCAATCAGTAGTACATAGTTATATCTGCATTTGTGTTCTGGTGCTCCGTTTTTTTTTATTGACATTCATCTACCGCTGATGGACACGTTTTGTTTGAAGAAAAAAAAGGGAACCAATCATTCTGGACAAACAAATTTATGCATGAATGCAGATAAACACTGGCTTTCATGATAGCTAACGTGCTCTGTGTATGCTTAGTGTATGATAAATTAAACCCTATTGTATCACATGAATACAATTCAGGTAGGGTAGAGTAGTATGTGGTGTGGCGACTTAATAATCATTCCAAGATAACAACACATATTAGTGAAAATAGATTAAACAGAAAACAAACAAACGGAAAAAACACAGATGTATCACGTGATTTTTTCTTTACAATGAATACAATACAATCTAATAATAATAATAACCTTCATAAAACAAATACACTGCTATTGTTGTTAATTTTCTAAGTCCCGTTTATTTTCATCACTCACAAAGGGAGACTGATAGTTAGTAGGTAAGTAATACAATTTCTGATTAATATTATTACTGTTCCATGGGGTTCCAAGTGGAACATAGGGCTTCAACAGCACATCTCCCCTTTGCTCTATTCTCTACTGTCCCTACGATTGTCCGCAATTCCTCATATCCTCCTCCCCACACAATCTCCACCATATCACCCTCGAACCCAAGCCCAACTTGTGGTTTCCTATTCGGATTCCACTCCACCGATGGCCTGGTTCACGATGTCATTCGACAGTCTCCTCAACGTGTGTGTCCAATCCATCTCCATTTTTCTTCTACATAACTGTTGAGCAATAGGTTCTTGGTTGGTTTGTTCCACTGCAGGCTTCCTGTGGCCGATTGCCTTCAACCATCTAATATCATCATCAAATCAATGTGCACCGTGATGGCAAGCTACCACCTAGTGGCATGGTGGCTACTTTACAAACCTGACTGACTGTGATAGAATTCAGTCTGCACCAAAAAGAAAGGACGCTAGACACATCACACACTAGTTACTAGTATCCAATCAAAATACGTAAAAAAAAATTAAATTTGTAATATGTCTGAAAAACTGAAATAAATAATTCTGCCGTTTCGTTTGGCAAACTGATTCGAGCTTCTTCAGGGGAAATTAATCAAAATATATACACCCTGCCCAATCATTTCAGTCATGAATGAACATAAAAGTACAATCAACAAAATTGGAACTATTCAGTCAAATCTTGATTATAGTTCATATGTACCATTAAAATGTTAACAAATGATTGATTCTATGAGTATAAAGAACTTGAAGAGGAGAATTTATTGAAAAGAATATTCTTAATTTACATGGTGTGTTTTTTTTTCAATTGTGAAATGAAATCATTTCAGACTCTCCCGTGTGAAGTGGCATAATAAGGTGAGCGATACTCAGGTTAGGCATCGGTCGAGTGCTAGGTAACGAGGGGAAATCAGTCGACGAGACTGTGAAATTACATCGACTGAGATGGTTAGGACATGTGTTCCGTATGCCTAGTCATCGCCTTCCTCAACTAGCAATGTTAGCTGATATAGGGCCAGGCTGGAAAAGAGCTAGCGGCGGTCAAACCAAAACATGGCTTCATCAGTCAATGAAATCCACAACAGTTAGTCTAAGCCACGTAGGTAGGTGTTGGGGTCCTCGGGACGGTAAAAGCCAATGGTTGGAAACAATTGGTGACATGGCTCAAAATCGTTCTCAGTGGCGCAGATGCATCCACTCCTTGTGACTTATGATTTCCAATGAAACTGTTTTGTTCTTCGTTATTACTCTTCTTTTGTCTCACACCTCCGTTTACTGTCATTATTATGCATTTATCTTACTTTCTTCTCTTGCTTTGTGTGCTACAAGGAGGGAGTGTGGCGACTTGAACTGTCGCACATATGTGCAAAGTTCTATGTCGAAAACAGACAGACATGAATAAAACACTTTTTTACCTCCAAAGAACGCATAGGATGAAAAGAGTAGGGGAATGTGGTGTATGCAATACGGTAATCACCAGTGCACTTCAAAAAAGATACTCATTCTAACGGTTATACAACTAAGGAATTGACTCTCCGTTCGTACGCGCACAACAAAGGCAGCTCTACAACTGCGAATGCTGACAGACATCCGTAACACTGCATATCACCATGTTAACTGTTAAAAAAATTGATATCGGTTAGAGAACCACTGAAAATCAGAGAGTACTGAACTCTTCAGAAGTACACGCACTCAGGACCTTCAGGTTACAAGACAACCTCATTGAACATTCTGCCAGTGGGATGGAGTTCAACAGCCTAGTGTATTCTAACTTCTGTCAATTAGCGATGTTTAGCATCACCGCTAGCCAATGCCATCGATAAGTAGTTAGAATTCATGGGCCACTGGACTCCATCCTTCCTAGTGGCTAAACACAAACGATCAACAGGTTTACCGCGTAACCACCCGAAGGTCCTAGGTTGGATCCCCTCCCCTCCCCTTCGCCAATGGAAGTCATGGGTGTGTGGTGCTGTTGAAGAGTCGAGAACTAGGAAGAAACAATGGTTCCAGTCGTACTCTAAACGATATCAATCGCATGATGAAACTTAAAACCATTCACAAATCTTTAAAAACTAATGCTTGAAAAGTTACATTATTCTCTGCTCACCTGTTTATCATTATTATTATTTCTCATGTCTTGTATTTCACCACCAGAACCAGACATTCTATTGTTCACGTTGTTTATAGAAGATTTTCTTAAATCTGCAAATGGCACAATACCATCTGTGCCATTAACAGACTGTTGTTGTTGTTGTTGTAGTTTGTCCAATTTCTCATTACCATTTTGAGATGACTGGAATGCATTAGCATTAGCATTGAACGACCAACTCGGTTGATTCCCTGCATCTGAAGAGTCTTTATAAGCGACAAATAAATTAAGAAGAAAAAAATAAGAATTAGATAGTTGAGAGGTGAATGGACACTTCCCTATATTATTATTATTGTTCCCTTGGGTTCCTAGTGGAACATAGGGCTTCAACTACACGTCTCCACTTGCTTCTGTCTTCTGCTGTACTTTTCACCTGCATCCATGTTAGTCCATACTGTTTCAACTCTTCTTCACACGATCTCCTCCATGTCACCCTTGGACGGCCCACTCGCCGCTTCCCTTTCGGGTTCCACTCGAGCACTGGCCTGACGCGCGATGTCACCCAGCGGCCTCCTCAGCGAGTGTCCAATCCATCTCCACTTTCTCCTGCATATTTGTTGAGCGATTGGTTCTTGTTTTGTTTGTTCCCATAGTTTCTTGTTGGTGATTCTTTCCAGCCATCTGATCTTCAGTATAGAACGAAGACAGTTGTTGATAAAGGTCTGCAACAGGCTGTTGGAAATATTCTTTGTGACCCACTGGCCAAGTTTCTGATCCATCCGTATAGAAGAACTGACTGACTTGACGTTTGTATTGAAAATCCGAATTTTGTTGTTGATGCTGAGTGACGAAGATTTCCAGATTGGTTTCAGGTTGATGAATGTGTTTCTCGCCTTCCCGATTCTCGATTTGACATCCTCGTCCGTTCCATGTGCCTGTAGTTGAGACAATGCTCCCTAGATAAGTGAATGAAGTAACTTCCCTACACGACTGACTCAAACCAACAGTCAAAAACCTCTTCCTGAATTGATTTCAGGCTTTGATTTGACTGACCCTAAGTCAGTGAACACTGCTCGTCTAAGAAGGAGTTAGCTCGAGATATGCAGAGTGTGTTCTAGCCATCTCAATTGATGTAGCTTTACAACTGCATTGACTGACTTAACTTCCTTACCTCAATATCATTCGCCATATTATACCACTTAACACTGGAGACAGAACATAAACGACTTTGGTCAAAGACAACTAGTCTCTTCAAGTCTTCCACTTTCAATGGATATTATCTCATAGTCATAAAGGAGGACAGAGCGAACTGCTGTTGTGCAGTACACACGTCCTTTGATCGACAGCTAGCTAGATATCACGTCTACACCAGAGATAAAGTGTCACACAAGCTTCTTGTATCTGTCCTAAGATTTCGTCAGTAAACAGTAGTTCATTGGAAGCAGAGGCAACTTCCTGAATAAGTAAGTGCAGTAGTGGACAAGTTCTACTACCTCACTCCCTATATCTTTAAGCTAGGAGTTAGTGTACTCCAATCCCACAGCACCACCTTACACTTGACAGGAGTGAGTCACACGCCAAACATTCGAAGATTTCTGCATTTTGTCAGCATCTTCACCCTAGGAGGACAATATCACCCGCATATTTATCTGTACTTTAATGTAAAAAAATATGAATAAATATACTTAATAGAAAAAAAAATAATGATAACAGAATATTCACATACGTAATTGTTTGTCGTTAAGGTAATCCACACAACGATTATTGTCCATTGGTCTGTCAGGAGGACGATTACATAACTGTCCTTCATTCGGTGCAGCTGGCTGTAACATAGATAACAAGTTGAAATGAAATTCCTTTGGATTAAGAAGGTGCTCGACTAGACCACTACAGTGTAACCAAAGGGAGACAGGCTCTAAGAACTTAATGTAAGGTGAGCACTTGACATACCGTTAGAATGATTAGGCATTTTATTTGACTGGGTGGCGGGGGTGGGGGTGGGCAGAGGTTCATCTGATTATACCGGAAAGAAACAAACTATCATGTCACAAAAGAAAGCACTTATAACCCACTTTTAAAAGTGATTAGCAATTGCTCTAGGGACTTATTTTTTCGTGCTTGGAAACACCTATCAGTGTGACTGAATAAAGGTGAGGCAAAATGCCATCAACAGTTCGATATTAGACAACCTGATGGAAACAGACGATCAGGCTAACATTGAACAATCTAGGTACCAAATAGTGTGAAAAGGCAGGGTCTCGGCTAAACAAATTTAACGTGAAGTGCTATTCACGACTAGGAAAACAATAGGCTTTTCACCACTGAATATTGGAATGTGTATTGGGACAATACCCCGTGGTCCATGTACACCTGCGAAATTCAGATTCTACGTGAAATGATTGAGACATTGATCCGCATGGATGCAATGATCATATACATTTGCCCCACGCACCATTGTACTGACAACATATTGGGTAAGCACAACTGTTGAAATCCTTGGCACCATATACCCTTTTCTTCAGTCCACTGAATAAAACTATCCATTAAGAAGGATATTCAGTTCATGAAACAATACAGCTGTGCATTGCAAACTTGACTGATAACATTCAGTCAAGGACTAGTCGTGTCATATTAATGACTTACTACCACCTAGTGTTCAATTAAAGTATCAAATACACAGTACCCTACAGGACATACGTTAATCACGACGAGCCAGAATTGCTCAGGGGTGACGTCTCTGACTTTAGCACTAAGTGAGAGAGGTGGTTAGAATCTCAAAAGCGACATGACTTCCTCCAAAGTTGCATCACATACGCGCTTTCTGACGAGTGTCAACAACACAAGTACCACACCTAGGTTGCAAGTTTCCTGCCGATTGCCTCCAACCACTTAATAACAACTGTATACTATAGATCAGGTGAAAAAAAATAATCAGAATTTATTGGATCTGGGTGATTACAAAAGAGTTAATGTGCTTTAAGAATGTGATATGGATAATTGACGCTCAGCTCAGAAACTAAGAAATGTAATTCTTTTGAAAGGATATTTACAGATGACAAACTCCGTATCAAAACTGCATATATATATGGCGCTGAAGATGTTGCCCAGAAGGACGACGAAAGCTTCGCAACTAAACCAACCAGCTCAGAGAACACTTTTAATTGCATATATATATATATATATATATATATATATATCAAGAGGAATTAACCACGCTTGATAACTGCACAGAGAAAAAAGGTAAAGTCAACTACAATAACGATGATGACGATAAATTAATAACACCACCAACAAGTTGAGAAACACGAAAAATCAAAAAGTGAAAGGGAGAGGTACAGTATTAGACAGTTGGAAGCAATTGGCCACAGGAAGCCTTGGCCAACCTAGGTTTCGTGCTAGTCGGCACTCACCAGTCAGTCAGCAAGGCGTATATGCTGTCACCAGCTTGAAGGAACTCATGTCCCACCCCTCTGAGATTCGAACCCGAGTCGCCCAGGGAGCCCTGCAGTCAGAGACGCTAGCACTGAGCAGGTATTCGGACTCGCAATTGACCTCCTGTAGGATTGTGGTGTGTATTTTCATTGGACACTAGTAACTAGTGTGACGTGTCTAGTCCTTTCTTTGGTGCAGACCGAGGTACAATTTATTTTCAAATAAAGCTGTACTATGGTAGGATCTTAATTTATAATCTAAGTTGTCTTGAGAATCACAACCTTACAGCAATGAATAGTCAAATCATATCCTTGAAGTTTTCTTTGTTGATTATAGCTTGAAACCACACAGTATTTCTGGTACAAGTATGGAATTTTCAGCATGCGATATCGGTAGCCCAAATTTGCAGGCCAACCATAGATATCAGGTGTGCGTCGGCAGGGGATCGAACCCCGGACCATGTGCATGGTCGGCGAAAGTCCTAACCGCTGTGCTACCGACGCACAAGTTCAATAACATTCGATCCTAGGCTAAAGTAGTTACCGCCAAATAACCTTTTGAATGACCTTTTAATGATTAATCATAATAAAGCGGTTTTAAGACTGGTAAATTTGTTAATAAACAATATTCCCATATATACATTTATATATATATATATATGGATATATATATATATATATACGTAGACAGGTTTATTCCTTCCCCCTTAAGTATTGTAATAAAATTTCCAAGTTAGACATTTTAGATAACCCAAGATCTCGACAAAACTAGGAAACCAAATCAGAAGCAAACTATGAGTGCATTATACCTGGAATTTTATTATTATTTTCTTCCTTTACGTTCCCAGTGGAACATAGGGCTTCAGGCTAGAGTCTTGAAGTTTCGGTAGCAGTGGTATTAATTTATTTTACGGGGTGGAGTTGCTAGCCTCATACCCAACCATCCCTCTTTACCAGTCACTGATGGCGCTTAGACAGGAAAAGGAGTGCGTCGGCCGGAGATCGGACCCCGAACCACCTCTGCGTGGTTGGTGAGCATTCTACCGCTGTGCCACCGACACGCACACACACACACCTGGCATAGCAATCATGTGATTAACAATGTGAATGATGCCGACTGACGCAATGAATGATAATGATAAGAAAAAGGTGAATTACTATATAAGACGCATAACATACCGAAGCACCACCACCAACAATGCCGCCGCCGGCGCCACCCCCACTACAACCATCATAACCACTCCCATCTGGTGCACTGATATGAAAACCATTTGAATTTCCCAATTCCTGATTAACCGCTCTACTTAGCATGGGATTATCACCACTTGAATTATTTTCAATTTGTTTGTAATCCTTCAAATTGCCAATATCATCAATTGCTAGATGAGTGGAGTCCGGGCCAGTTAAATGATTTCCATTCTTATGATCAACATCTTTTCCTTCATTGAAATCCAAAAAGTTCAACGGACCGTTTGACTAAGAAGGAGAAGAAGAAGAAGAAGAAATGGGAGTGAGTACACAGATAAACAGATTCACTTAAAAGTCAGTTGAAGTGTGGTGAGAGCTGTCTGCAAACCGAAATTGTAAGCAACAATTTATGTCAGTGTTTCCGTCACGAATCGGGTCATGAGGAGAAACAAGAACAAAGCCTAACCTTGAGAAAGTCAACAACCAATCACAGCAGACTTAGAGGGGGCAAATACGATTTGCAGATATATAGATAACTTTGTAGGCAACGGTCACAAGCAGTACAGAATAACCTTGAGCAAGAAAACAACCAATCAGAAGACGTTGCTTCTCTGCTAAATTAAAGAATAATAATGTACATAAGAATCTATAAATATCTGCTGATTTTCCTCTCAAAAAAAAACGATCTGTTGCCTGGCCCTTGTCTTCTGTCGTTACAGAAGTGAAGAGCCGCTTAAAATCAAGATTTAAAACTATTCAACTTGTCAGAACTTGTCACCTGTGAAAAGACAATTGAAAGTGAATCAAAATAAAGCAAATAAGTTTTTGAAATGAGCATGTCTTTTCACATTTATTGAAGTCATTATGCATTTCGTGTTGTCTGATTTTCACTGCACCGAAATATTAGGCGAATTTCTACAGTTAACACACCGCAGCCTCCTAGTACAGACACTTCGATGGTATGTATTTCTTATGTGATGATAACTAGTAGTGTGCAATTCAACAGACAAGTTTTCATCGGCATTTTCATACAGAAAACCGCCGTCCACTTAGGATGCCGGTGCCAAGGTAAAACGAACAAGCCTCAACATGTTAAATAATTTTATTTTTACAATGAAGTCATTTGATTCTTTCTAATAATTATATTTTATCAAGTCTTGATTCGCAGGAATTCGATTCGTTACATATTCCATCACGAATTGAGATCAACTAGTGAAAAAATGGAAAACATTGGAGTACTGGATAGCCGTTCCATCCTAGTTCGAGACACATCAGCATTAAGCACCCACCTCCAGGAGTTCGAACCCAAAACATACAGCTTACAAACCAAGCTTGTCGACCATTCACCCAATGGCACCCGATCTAATCGCTACCCATGAATTCCAACCTCCGCCAATTCGTGATATATATCCAAGCACAAATGTATAAAACGCAAACACCAGCCAATGCCATAGCCTGGTCAGTAGTCCCAGGTTTTCCATTGCTCTACTCTACTCTAACTGATGTGATGTCAACTCGTCATGCAACCCGTAACCAATGAAATACCTGCTAACCAACACTTGATGATTTTTATGTCACGACTACATTCGTCACTATTCCCATACACGTTCTTCTTCTACTTTACCAGTCTACGTATTATTATTAATATTATCATCACCATCATAATCCAAGCTTTTCCTTTTTTGACTAGGAAGACAACGTTACTTTTCTTCCCTATTTTGATGATATCATCTATCTAACCGTCATGACAAAATTTATGGTTGAATGGGGAGGGGGAGATTTGGCTTGATTATTTATTCGCTTTTACACCACTGCAATAAAAGCACCACTGACCACCACCAACAACAACAACACACACGTGAGTGCACACACTCACACAGACAGACACAAACACTTGCTTATATTGTACACATCGATGGTATGCGAACAACTCTAGACAGATTAAGTAGGTAGGTAGGTAGGTCGGTAGGTAAGTAGGTTAAACCGTCTACCTCATATTAATTTCTCTTATCTCAACAACAAAGGTGGTGGTCAGTGTACAATCCAATGTGATGATTATTGTTAATCGGATAGCTTACATAATTCGAAACTTTTGAATTTTATCACGAAATTAGATGATTACTTCTACTAGTTAATGTATCATTGAAACAAAAGAATTATCCGATGTGTGTGAGAGTTGATAGACATTCTGACAGAGAGTCACATCACTCGTGTTCTATGGAGACTGAAGTTATTCTCTTCAAGACTTGAAGGAGGACAGTTAACTAGAATAATGAGAGAAGCGAGGCCGTAACCAGTGGAGTCCACCAAGTCTGGAAAGGGAACAGTTACTCGCCTATGATATTGACTAGCGGTTTCGCTATATATGTATCACTAATCGACAAAAGTTAAAACTCTGTAGCAATTGCATTTAGTCCCAGTGGGTGAGCAGTTTACGTATTCGCCTTGTAACCAAGACGTCCTGGACAGGAAACCCAGTGGGTAGGAGCTTTAAAGAATCCCAAACTAGGAAGAAATGCCTGCCCAGTACTCCCACATTTTCTATTAATTAGTTCTCGTGATGAAACCGGTAACCAATCAAATATCTGCTAACCAATACTTGATAATTCCACAGTACTAAAGTACTATGCTACTATCAGTTTTAAGATGTATGAAGTAACTGAAATCAATCGTCAACAAAGTGTGAATTTTAATCCATGATAATTGTTTAGTATGCCGGTAGAATAATATTCATAACCTGAAAATTTTTCCTTCATATACTAAGATTTTCTTTTGATTAGTAATCCCACTGTTTTCATTCCTACTGTCCAGGTCTATATAGTTGTAATTTGAAACAAGGTGTATTGTGTTTTATATACCAATGGTCAAACAAATGTTCGGTCTACATAACATAGAACTTATATTTACAAATGTTCATTTAGTTCTGCATGTTCTATCACATATAATAATCTATACTAATGAAACAGTACACTGGGTGATGTGAGTTCGATTCTCAAAATAGGGGCATTATTTTCTTCAAAATTACAGATACGCGTTGCTGACGGGTGTCAACAAACACCAAATCTAGAACCAGAACATCTTACCGATTACGTCGAAGCATTCCAGAGCTGATTCAGAGTACACTCCGATGCTGAGTCACTCAGCTTAACTTGCTGATCAGTTTGTAACCTTAACTGATAGAATTCAGTCTTCGCCAACACCAATGACTGACTAGACGTATGACATTCATTACTCTCTTAGTGACCAATCAATAGATATACAGTTCACATTTGCGTACGTACGCATCACTTTTTACACTTATCTTACAAGTTTAGTCACAAGTTGACATCAGTTAGAGAACCATTAGAAAACCTGGAAGTAGTGAACAGACGATTCCTTCTAGTTTGGGACTCCTCAGCAGTACGCATCTACCAGAACATACTAGTTACATGGTAAGCTCGTAGACTATACACCCACTGGGACTGAATGGACTGCCTACAGAGTTTTAACTTCTGTCGATTAGTGATACATATATATAGCGAAACCGCCAGTCAATATCATAGGCGAGTAACTGTTCGCTTACCAGATTTGGTGGACTCCACTGGTTACGGCTTCGCTTCTCTCATTATTCTAGTTAACTGTCCTCCTTGAAGTCCTTAAGAAAATAACTTCAGTCTACATAGAACACGAGTGATGTGACTCTCTGTCAGAATGTCTATCAACTCTCACACAAATCCGATAATTCTTTTGTTTTAATGATACATTAACTAGTAGAAGTAATCATCTAATTTCGTGATAAAATTCAAAAGTTTCGAATTATGTAAGCTATCCGATTAACAATAATCATCACATTGGATTGTACACTGACCACCACCACCATTTGTTGAGATAAGAGAAATTAATATGAGGTAGACGGTTTAACCTACTTACCTACCTACCTAATCTGTCTAGAGTTGTTCGCATACCATCGATGTGTACAATATAAGCAAGTGTCTCTGTCTGTCTGTGTGAGTGTGTGCTCGCGTGTGTGTTGTTGTTGTTCAGTGGTGTAAAAGCGAATAAATAATCAAGTCAAATCTCCCCCTCCCCCACCCAACCATAAATTTTGTCATGACGGTTAGATAGATGATATCAACATAGCGAAGAAAAGTAACGTTGTCTTCCTAGTCAAAAAAGAAAAGCGTGGATGATGATGATAATAATAATACGCAGACTGGTAGAGTAGAAGAAGAACGTGTAGGGGAATAGTGACGAATGTAGTCGTGAAATAGAGGTTATCAAGTGTTGGTTAGCAGGTATCTGATTGGTTACCGGTTTCATGACGAGTTGACATCACATCAGTTAGAGTAGAGTAGCAATGGAAAACCTGGAACTGTTGACCAGGCTATGGCATTGGCTGTTGTTTGCGTTTTATACATATGTGTATATATATATATCACGAATTGGCGGAGGTTGGAATTCATGGGTAGCGATTAGATCGTGTCCCAGTGGCTGAATGGTCGACAAGCTCGCCTCGTTACCTGTATTTCTTGGGTTCGAACTCCTGGAGGTGAGTGCGTACTGCTGAGAAGTCTCAAACCAGTGGTTCAGCTGGTGATGAAGCCTGCAACCAATCAAAACTGTGCAAAACCAACACTTGAAAATACCTTAGTTAATTAGAGAAACAAAATGTCTAATGATAATAATAATAAAGAATGGTCATGTCATAGGGATGAATGGAAATGTTATAAGGTAATAAAGTATAGTAAATTGCTATAATCGAAAAATCGAGGGGAGGATAATGATAGCAAAAAGATATTAAGGTGTTTAAATGATAAAATCACATAATTCACTAAAAAGAACCATAACTATTCATAAACAGTTAGGCATCAGATATAAGTGGCATAGAGTGATGATGTAACTAAATTAAATCATGATAATCTGTATGGATATCTAATAGTTTTACATTGAATAAATAAAATTTATGCTTCAGATTTAAGATTGATTACTCTGTTGGTCTCTAAAACATGAACATATAGTTAAAAATATATAAATATGACCTGCTTTTTTCCTAATAAAGTGTAGTTGTGCCCTAACAGTTGCAGGCCAGTGCCTTTAGTCTTTTGATATTTACGTGGGCCTGTGAAGTGGACGGTACTAAGGACGAATAGTTGTAATCAAGCATAGGTTATTCATTGCGTCAGTTTTATTACACCCACGCATAAGTCCACTCGGTCAGATCAACTGTCGACGAGATTGTATCAGCTGGCAACAGATCAGTATTGATGCTCACACTAGTGACTTGCTACAGGACGGAGTTTCCTGGAGTT